AGACACATTGTTCCAAATCATTTTAAATAGACTGACAAATTCAGTTTTGCTAAGAGACACGTGTCACTAAATTGTTTTTTTTTGGTGTTTCAATCGCAGCCCACGCATGCACTTCGTTCGAACTGAGAGTGAAAGAATTCTGGAAAACCCTGTCATCAATAGTGGCTCGTGGAAAAGTTGGCTACTGAGTGTACAGCAGCTGCGCATGGTTTCTGTTTCCTATGAAAAGGGAACTTCACTGAGCCACCTGGTTGCTGTATTCAAGTAGCTCACACGTTCAGAATGATTAAAATTAGGCCTTTTGTTTTTCTTTAAAAAAGTCAGTGCAGTAAGTTGTGTGTGTAAAAGCCACCTTTGCAGATAGCTAAGTGTTCAGGGAAACACAATGTGCAACAAAAATTATCACTGACAGCCGTGCCATTGACTAAGATTCAATAATAAACTTATTAGTGACTGCAGCAAACGGCCATGGACGTATTAAAAATTTTAGCCAGTCACATTTCTACATAGGTCCAAAGAATTCTGGCATGCCTGTGCTCGGATATCCCACTGGAAAGTTTAGTTATGGCTTGCATCATTATGCATACAGGACAGTGAGCACTACCACACAGCTACTACTCCCTGAGGTGCCGCATATAATCTGACTATGGGTCGCAGCCACCGACAAACATTATAATGGTTACCTTTTTACTACTGGCTGGTGATAGCAAGCACTGACTGCTCATCCCACCAGGGAGTAATATTTTGCTGATCCTCACTGCCTTGCATACATAATCATGAAAAGCACCATTGAACTTCCGAGTGGAATTTCTCAGAGCATAGACATGCTCGAAGAATTTTTCCAAGTGGGAATGTGTAGAAACACGACTGTCACAAACTTTTATATACAAATATACTCACTTATTGTAGGCACAAAAATTTCGTTATTCTTAGTTGATTGGGCAGCTGACAGCATTATTGTCCTACCTTGTGTCCTCCTGGACACATAACTTATCTGCAAAGGCAGTTTTCTGTTCTTAGGGCTGAATTTTAATGCAAGCACAAGGCACGTATCTGAATATGTCAGTGCCGCTTCCTAAGGTTTTATGTCATGTTTAATTTTTGTGTAATCTCCAGTTAGTCACTTAATAATGAACTTTTTGCATTGCAATGAGGCTGTATCAGATCATTGATTTTATTTTAACTGTAATATTGACTGAATATTTTGTTTTAATATGGTTTTGTAACTTTAGTTCATTGTCTTCTCGAATTTAATGCCATAAGTGCAATCAAGTGATTTTCTACTTCCATACTCAATTATACCTAACTTTGCCAACACATAACCATGTTTGATATATTGATAGCGATATCTAACCACATTTAACATTGTTAATGATAACTGACCGAAAGCATTCTGGAATACTGAAGTTTTTCTTACTTCACTGTGTCTTTTGCGTGAGTATTTTGGGATGAAATTAGAATTCAGGGTATTGCCAAAACCACTATTTGATTGTTAAACACAGATCTGTGGTGTAACCCATCAATTTCGACTACTCTTGGTTTTAACATACCTAAATTTAAACCCACTGGGTTAGAAAAAATCAATTGCTGCTTTTTGGCTGTAACAAATTTTCTACCTTCATATATTTACTACTGGGCCAATAATGTGTTTGCTAAGCTAGCTTGCTAATTTTCGTTGCACTGATATAAGTCTGCTCGAAGAAAACAGTTTGTGCCTTTTGTATGTGTGCAGGTTCCTGGACCAAGTATCTGGTGAACACATCAATTGCTTTGTGTAATAATAGTTACTATAAAGCGTTCAAGTTTTGGGAGCAAGGATATAGTCATTGTTATGCATGATAAAGGTTACAAGTATGCAACAAGATTTGTTGAAATTTTTCACTTACTTTTGGATGTGCAGTATGATGCATTCCAGGCAACACCAGAAACAAAAATGAGTTGACATTTAAAAGCCTGTCTTGTCTCTAAGTAATACAGATTATCGTAATGATAGACGGCAGTCACTAATTCATTCTTTCAATGAATAGGGCACCAATTTTGCTGGTTAAAGTGCCAGCAATCAATTTGATGCCAAATTATGCTTCTGTCCCTACTTGTCACTCTCAACAGTGAACAGCTAAATCCACCGAATGCAAAACACTGACATGACGCAGCAAATTAACCTCAGAAAACGCTGAAGAAGCTGGTTTGCATAAAAATAAATGTCTAAAAAAAGGTGTAAAAAGACCTAGCAAAAGTCTTTTTAGAATTTTGGCAAGAAGTTTAATAGGCTTCTAATAATATAAGTATAGTAAACATTTACGAAGGTTCTTTAAAAAATCTAGGGAGACTTTTTTAGAATTCTTGTTAGAAGTTTTCTAGCCGTATAATAAAACAGCGTTAGCACAGCTACAGGAGGTTTTCAAGCTGCTTTGGTTTAAATACTATCTCAACAAGACTTCTTATATGCCTTTGGACAATCTTTTTTCTACATTTACTAGTAGTTTTTTTTAGCTTTTATGTGTTTTGGGGGTATTCTACACAGTGCTTGCTCACAAGGACGAAACAAACAGGAGAATTCTTTTGTCTGTGTTTTTACGCATCTGCACTTGAACAGAGAGCAAAGCATATTATTAAGCTCAGCTGAATGACCTAGAAGCCTGGGTTTGTGTTCCCACATTTAGTTTTTTATAAGTGTCTTTGTCTTAATTAAAATGGTTTGATCCATTCTTTCAGTTGTTTGTCTATCACTCTCCTGTTTTTTTGCGAGCATGACATCAGCTACGCAAGGTCACATCCGTTCTGTTTCAGTAACGATGCGCAGTTCCAAAAGCTTTCTCACTGACAGGCATGTCCCTAAAATCTCACGTCTTGGAGCTTTCAAGACAAAACTGTTTATTCTTTTTTTGTTGACACACTGTACAAGTTTGGCAATCGGGAATCAAGCATTAACTTTATACATACCGCACTCATCATTTGAAAGTGTGGCAACCAAGCGCCCACTGCCCCACGCTTCAGGAAAAAGACGCCACAGCACCACTGAGTGGTTTCTATGCAAACAGCCTCACTGGGAGGATCGCCCTCGTCCCACTACCCCTATCTAGTTCACTATAATAAAAAGGTTTGGTTTCTGAGATACCATATTGGATATATATTAGCTAGGGCTAGAGGTGGATTTAAATGTGGACTTAAACTTGCCATGCTCCTCTCAGCAGAAGCCAAACACCAGGCCGTCATCAATCATGCTGACCACGCCATGCTGCCACTCCAAATTAAGGGCCACTCACAGCTGAAAATACTTCGGTGCACATGTAATGTCAACAGGTAGGCAGCAAAAACAGACCTGATGAAACGTGTTATGAACGTTGTAAGTTCCCGATTGTCTTCTATCAGTTTGACCTTGTGAAAACTACATGTCACATTAAACTTGAAAAAGACCTTCACCTCTCTAAGGAGTCCTAGTATGTGTTTTATAGTGCCACGTACGGTAAAATGTGTCACTCCCGGTAGACGGACTTATTCAGCTCCATCATGTCCGAGCACCAATGATAGCTGCTAGAGTTCTTCTGCCCCACCAACAGACCGGCACAGCATTGCATCGACTTCGTAATCTGCCTTATTATGCCCTGCACTTCCATCTTGTCGAGCTCCGATTTTACGAGCGGACACAACAAGACAAGTATGCTTCTTGGCATGCTTAAGGAGAATGGGGCAGCACCTGGTTTAAAGCGGGTTTTGTACAGTTCGTCCAGCACGCTCCGTCTTTCTAGCAGGTCTGAAGCGATGCCTCACCCTCCAGTCATACTTTCCACAAACTTGACAGCTTGTAGAGCTAGAATGGCTAGAACGTCTAGCAGAGGCACTGTTTATGAACACACCCCATACATTTTCTGATCTGTTGTTCAGCCTCTCCATCTCATAGTAGCCCAAAATGAGTAGTGGCTGCCCTCTGGGGCCCATGAGCTCAGGTACTTGAGGGTCAAGTCGAGCCGATATTACAGAGAATTCGCTTGGTATGACAAACTTTAGGGCCGCTATCAACCTTAAACTTCAGCAGCAACCCATTGAAGTTGCTGCTGAAAATACTTATCCCGAGGCAAGTTGACTGATCTAACCTCATTCACTGTAGCCAACGCCAAGGAATGATGCAGATCCGCCAAGTGACCTTTCTTTCAGCACTTGTTACAAAGTGCTCGCTAGGCCAGACATTCCATTTTCAGGGGGCTCTGTTGCGAAAATGACACTCACCCACTGAGACTGAAGGTGACATTTTGGCTTTTGCAGGACACCTTTGTTGCAGAGGATTCTTCTTTGCCTTAGTTGAATCCATGAAGACGGCCGAAGACATGGCACTTGCAATGATGGAGTCTTGTGTAATGCGCTCCTTTTCCGCATCCTCTTGTTGATGCGCTTGAATAAAAGCTTCTTTGAGACAGAGCTTTGAGCACATGTACTGTTTGCCAGACAGGTTACCATCGAGGAAGTTCACAACGAAATGACCACCCACTAGCAACTTCTTTGGAAAGGTAGTTGCGTCGCAGCACTCTGACCCAAAGTGCAGAGTAAAAAGCATCAGCCGGCTCCCCAGCTTACTGTACCCGACGCTTCCATACATCTTGCTGCTGGATGGATGAAGTAAGAGTTGAGCTTGCCGGTGATTTGCTTTAAATTTGCCATATCATCCTTTGAAAACTTGAAGTGAGCTGAGAATATCTCTAGCCTGCGGAACCATAATGTACAGCAGGCTTTGTCAGCAACATACAAGCCTGTAGCGTAGACGCTATCTCAGAACAGCACAAAAAATAGAAATTAGCAGTGAAATTGGAGGGAGCACTTGCTCGGGCCGGGGCATTTGCTAGGAGCTTTAGTGGCTCAATCTTTGAGATTGTCATTGTTCGGTTCTTCACTTTCCCATGACAATACACTGAAAGTGCACACACATGAACCACTTGCTGTGGTTCTAAACTACATAGTACTGTAATATGCTTTAAAAAGACAATACTGTAGTGACACTGCCTCACCAGTTCCAAAACTTCGGTCCACTAGGCTGTCAGCCAGAACAGGCAGGTCTCGGCCGGTTATGGGATGTCTCGCTCTGCGCCCGATGAAGTGAGCATAACGGGCATCTTCAGGGTGGACAGCCAAAGCTGTGTCAGCAAGCATCGTCTCTAGTCGGGTGGTTGCAACCTCGATCTCTGCCACACACACAAAGAGTTTCACTGTAAGCATAGCCAAGAAGACTAATTTTACGCCAATGGCTCCTATTATAACATCCTAAAATACATTAAATGAGCCCTGCAACACCTTTATAGATTATCACAGAATGACATCACTATTAGATTATTTAATTGCAAATATTGTGCCAAAAAACTTTTTGGATATATCAATTATTAGGTGAGGTTGCAGCAAAAATTGCATGATTGTGCGATAGTACATAGTGCAATTATGCATGGTGAGTGCCTCCTCATAATATTTCTAAGGCATAACTGCCTTTGGCATTAGAGGGTTACAAAGTCCGAACTACTAGGGTTTTCAGATGCAACCATTTGTATTTCTGATTACTGCTTAGAATTTTCAATTCTCAAATTTTTTGTGTTACACTTGGCTTTTTTGCTATTCTGTGGTACTCTACAGCAGTGAAGGGTGAGTCGAAAGAAAAAAATGGGGGATTAATAGCTTGTCAAGCTAGTACATTAGCAAATTTATAGTAACAACAAGCAAGTTGTAATTCAACTGGAATATACCAATAATGTGTTTCATAAGATACAATACTTCGTCTCACAAACGACTGCAACTTTCATTTCGCACACGCACCCCATTGTCCAAGGAAAAACACTTTTGTGTTGGGAAGACGACATCCAGCGACTAATGACCGAACAACGGCGCCACCGTGTCTTCCCTACACCTGTACTGAAAGGGGCAGACATGTGTTCGAGGAGAAAGAAATTAATTCCTAAGGAGACGCTGCACGAAAAAGTTTTGACTGCTTCAAAATCTGGAGTTGACGTGCAACCAGCAAGAAACGTGGTTGTCAGTGTCGTGAGGCTCGTGTAGGCGGGAAGTATCGAGTGACCTGCGCAACGTATTGAGACAGCTGCAATACCGGGCACCCTCGTCGTCTACTAAGCTGGCGAGATCTCCAGCAGCACTCATCAACTCCCTTACGTGTACCAAGAGCTGGCGTGGTTCATATGGAACTTTTTATTGTGACTTTTTTTTAACTGTTATTTTATTATACCCTGCCTTTCAATAATTGTAGTTGTGTGCGCTGCGTGGCACGTAGCAATTCAAAAGCGCGACCATGAGTTTTTCGTAATTATTTCTTTGCTTCTCTTTTTGATTTCCATCATGTCATTATTTTATTTACAATTCACGAACTTGTGTTTTGTTTGTACCAGTTGTAGTTCTTCTTGCATCTTGTATTAGTGTTTTTCCTCTGTTATTTTTGTAATCTCTTGCCTATTGCCCTTGTTTTATTTAAATGTTTGTTCATTTTGTATGAAATCTACGTGTCTGTTTTAGAGTACGTCAGTCAGGCTCATACATCACCTCACATGCAAACCCACATGGGTCGACTGACCTGGAAATAAACTTAAGATGTACCACTTCGAGGCCTTTCAGGCGTCACAGGCCAGAGCGTAAAGTGTAAGCCTACGAGTCTGCTGCAAATCGATGTTAGATCGGCGGGGCCTCAACCGAAGTGTGTGACACTTCGTTAACTCAAGCTCCAGGGGTACTTATTTAAATAAAACTGAATTCAAAGTAAAAAAAGTTTTAACAGCCCCTGATGACTTGCACAGTGTTTGTTCTTGAAGGTTCTGACAGCCCCTGAAGTTTTCTTGAAGAAGTTCTGCCCCATTATATGGCTGCTGCACATTTTTGAAGGCAAGGGCCCTAGGAAGAACATTCCACTCATGGCTGCTTACTGCCTAGGCAGCCATAAGCAGGTCACAAATGCAAAAGCCGAGTGTAGCCGGATGACTGGTTACTTCATAGCGGCCAGTAAAATGGCCCCAAGAAAAAGCGTCGGCAGGCAGCCTTGAATATAGGTTTCCAGCTTGTTCTAAAGCATGCTCACATGTCCTGTACAATATCACCAGACACAGTGACACAATTAAAAAACCTGGTGGTCTCTAAACATTTGACTTAAATTGTACGTGCCATTTTCTTAATTCAAAGCAACAAGAATACAAATTCTTTCTATGAATTTTCAAGAGCCCCACAAATTCAATATTTTTTCTCATAATAAGAGAGTGCATCACCAGCAGGAGTGAGGGGTGCACTAAGACAATTCTGCACGTGATATTTGCATCTACGCTTGCAACAATTAACTTGCAGCAAACTGATAAAACACAGCACAACTGACAAAACGAGCACAAAAAGAAGATACACAAACAAGCTTTTTGTTTGGGCACGGCATGCAAAACCATAGCCAAGCTTTGTTGCAGCGTGGTCACCTGTCAGATGCAGTGAATGCACCTCCCATTCTTTTCACCAACAAGCATGACACAAGTAATGTTCCCATCCCTAACATGAGCTGTATGAGAAGCTATGTAGCCACAGAATCGGGTATAGAAGTGAGAAAAGCCAACTGGAATGGCCTCCATGACATTTCGTGGGCTAGGTTAGCCAATGTGCTCCTTTAGCTAAGCAGGCATACCTAAGTGAATCATGAAAACGTTTATTTTTTAGCTGTATCACGCAAACACTGCAGCAACTGAAACCAGGCCATGGCCACACCATGGCCAATAGTGCAGGAGATTTTGCACTAAAACAAAAAAAGGGCACCACAAATAAGAACACTAAACAGATTGAGCACGAAGTATCAACTATTTTAATTGACTTTAGAGTGTCAGTCAAATAGGGAAACTGAACATAGCTGCTATGGAACATCTCTATGCTAACATACCTTATTCATCAAAAAAACACTTCTGCCCCGTAGAGCGATACCAATGCCTCACTTACACAGCTATCATTTTTCAAGTTGATAAAGAATGCTCCCAAAATCTCACGAGCAAATGTGTTTCTGCTATGTTCCAGTATTTTAGTTTTTTTAAATCGTGCTTCACATTCACAGGCTGCGCAGTGAACAGACAAATTAGCCATTTCATAATTTTTGATCAACAGCTGGTGTTCCCGTGCGTAGTCATTTGCGCAACAGCTTGTTTGACCCACACAAGAGTTGCTGCAGGAAAGCAGAATCTCGTACATAGCTCCCACATTGCATTGTAACACCAGGTTGGCATGCTTCTTGCTACATAGGCTGGTGTGCTCTTCACCGCTCAAAATTCGTTAGCACAATCTCAAAAGCTTCTTAGGTGCAGAAAACATCATGCCAACTCCATGGCGATTGTCAACCTTCTTCAGGTTGTGTGTCATCTGGTGTAAGTAGGGTAACACCATCGGCTGCTCAGACCCAATCGACGAGTCCTTCAGCAGTAGCTTCTGCGAGCACCCTTTTAGCTTCTTCAGGAAGGTTTGAGCCCCCGCCACCAGCACAGACTGTGGGAACCCAGCTCGCTTTAGTCGTCTAATCTGAGCATGGAAGCTGGCTAGCCTCTCGTGCGAGCACTCCTGCATAGAATGAACCTGCCAGCCCCTCAAAACGCTTCGATCATGGCCAACAGCTTCAGGACAAGATGTGCGGTCATTGCAGTCAGTGACAATATCATGAATTATGGAGCCTTTTACAGAAGAGAATCTACAGGTTGTTGTGGTGCTGTTGCTTCTCCCCTGCTTTGTACTGTTGCAGGAATAAAACATCTTCAGCTGCAGCATCAAAAGAGCCTGCCTGCTTCCCAGCTTACTGACCAGATAATGTAGCAATGGTGTGCAATGGCAATGAATTGGTGGTATGATGAGATTCAAAAGGTTCCATCTCAAGCAACCCCTGCACCAAGCCAGAGAGAGGAAATGAGTATATGTTGCATGCCTTCACTATCACAACTTGGCAGCACAACAAACAAACGAGACACGGGAAGAGTGAGACACAAATAAGCGGAGACAGAGAATAGAAGAAATGTATACAATAAAACACAAGCAGAAAGTGGTTACCTTAGGAAGGGTCAACTGAAATTAAGTGTCGTCCACAAAGGAACTCTCACTATCTAAAGATAGTACAGAGGGTGAAGTTACACAACTATCAGTGCTCCTTATAAGAAAGGCTTTGGTGATCTTAATCTTCGTGTCATGATGGGAATACAAAAAAGAGGTGCATAGAAATTCTGGTGCACGACCACACTTTGGACAATAGGTGGACAAGTGCACACCTGGTGCAGACTTTAGCAAGTTGGAGTGCATGAGTAAAACACAATGCATGCCCATTTTTCAAAAAGATTTCAATTATCCTAGCTTTTTTCTGTTCCATAAAAGCACGAGGTAATTAAAAACACATTTGAAAACAGTGATGACAATGTTACTCAGTATCATTTTCAAAACATAATCTAAATATTTTAAGAAGGCTCACCAGCTCCAAGGCAACTCAGACTTGAACTTTTTCAGTTCAAGTCTGAGTAGCACTTACACACCATAAAATAGTTGGACTAAAAAGCATGAATTTGTTTTTAGACAACTTCACGGCCACTCGAAGCCAGAAAAATCGGACACTGACGTGAATTCCCTCACTCACTTTCCCACACACACAAAAACACACACACATATAAAAAAAAAAGCAGGCAGCCAATGAGCAACTGTTGCATTCCCATCAGTACTGTGCAGAGTAGAACTTTACCAAGCCAGATTTAAAAGTAAGGCTTACAATGCATGGAAAACACAAAAAGCAAGGCGTGACATGCACATAGCCGGTAACTTATAACAATGTTATTATCAAAAGCAGGTTATGATGATACGTGGGGTCAACGTCCCAAAACCCCCATATGATTACGAGAGATGCCGTAGTGGAGGGTTCCAGAAATTTTGACAACCTGGGGTTCTTCAACATGCAGCCAAACCTGAGCACACATGCCTACAGCATTTTCACCTCCATCGAAAATGCAGCAGCTGCCACAGCCGGGATTCAATCCCACGACATGCGGGTCAGCAGCTGAGCACCATAGCCACTAAGCCACGGCGGCGGGGCATATTGAAAGCAGGTAACCACTAATATTAACACAATGTGACTTCAATTTATGCGCGCTATCCGATACTTAAGGCCTCTGAATGGTTTGCGGCGCACAAGCCTGCAGGGCCCAGCTGC